AAAAATCAATAAAATCGTATTTAAAAACATTTTTAAGCTCTAGCCAGTTTTGTTCAGTGGTTAGGGAGTCGGCCTGCAGACTGAAGGGTCCTGGGTTCGATTCTGGCCAAGGGCATGTGCCTCGGTGGCAGACTCGATCCCCAGCCCTGGTCGGGGCGCATGTGGAAGGCAACCAACCGATGTCTCTCTCAATCCATGTTTCTCTCTCTCCCCCTTCCCCTCTCTCTGAAAAGCAATGGAAATAAAATATCCTCGGTAAAGATTAAAAAAAATTTTGTAAACATTTAAAAATAAATAAATAAAGCTACTTAGCTTCTTTCTATGTCACAAAGGTGGTCTTTGAATGCGAGACCGTAGGGCTCCTCTCCCGTGAGCCAGGCTGCTAGCCTGCAAATGGGCTGTTGAGAGGCTCCCGCTAAATAATAAATATTTGTGAACAAGGGTAAGGATTCCATGCTTGACACTGTTTCCTGTAGTGTTGGGAGAGTCGTTGCTTTGCTAATGTATTTTTACTTTTCACATTCCTGAGGCAGAGAGAAGTGAGCATATAATGCAACAACGGATATTCATCGCTAAAACCACGTGTCTTGAAGGCAGCCCTCCCGTGAAATTTATAAACGGTCCCCATGACTGATACACTCAGCTGTCCCCAGAGTGCAAAGATCAGGAGCTTTTAAACTCATGTTGAGCGTGGAATTCAACAAATATTACTTAGCAACTGCTCTGCTAATTGCAGGGCAAAACCAGGAGAAAAGCTGATGTTCCCGGGGAGAGAGACCTGCCCGTCAAATGCACGAGGCTAAATATAGATAAAAGGAGTCACTGAAGCCTGGAGGGGGGACCTTGCGGGGGCGTGAGTGACCGGCGTCTGTACGCAAGGACGGAGGGGACCCCGTCACCCCGGCCTGGAGGCCCCCAGGCTGCGAGTCCCCCTGAGCACCTGTGTTCCCGCCTCTCGCCCTCCCGCAGGCCTCGCAGAGGCTGTGGGACCTGCATTTTCAGAAGAGGAAGCGTATCCCGGGGCCTGAGACATTTGTACAAAATCCCAGGGCTGGTTTTAGAAACCGGCACAGCTGCAGGCCGCCCGGCTTCCATTTCTCTCCCGAAGACGCCGCTGCGACATTTCCATCTAGGCTGCTAAAAGCTTTTTAAAAAATGTTTGAGACCATAATTAAGATAACTGCAGCGAAGCGGTGTGATCGGCTCCCCTGCTCGGAACGCGGCTGTTTTATGAGCTGTTTCCGCGGTGGCCGTGGCCGTGGCCGTGGTCGTGGCCGTGGCCGAGGGGAGGGCTCGGCCCGTGTGCGCGAGCGATCGCTGGGCTCCTCTGCTGCCCGCCCGACCCCACAGGCAGGTTTTGAAACATAGTGTTTCGAGGTCCTGAGAACACGGTTCTATTCAAATGGTGGTGTTTTGTCTGAAGACACTGGCTCTTCCTTCGGCCCCGTTAAAATGAAGTTGGCTTTTAAAATACGGCTTTCGCGCAGGTGACCTGAATGATCTCAAACCCCCGGTACCTGGAGACCTTTGTTTCAAGGAGAAGGGAGGTGATCCGTGGAACTGCCACGTGCATCGTTTAAAATGTGTGTGGTTTTGAGGACAAAGCGAGGCTTTTTGTACATACACGTGAAATATAAAAAGAAACGAATTTTCAGAAAGTGGAGATGTATTTTACTCTTCACTTGGGTGAACTGTCCACGATTTGAACTTCAGTGTTACAGGTGAAGTTAACACTCATCATCAGATGCGTAGAGTTATTCCTTTGTTTCTTTTTTCTAGATTTCACAGACTAGAGAAGCAAAACTGTCAGTAGCAGAAACAAAGTATCCTTAATTTGTGCTGTTGGATTTAAAAGCCCAGCAGTTACCTTCTTCTAAATAAATAGAGGTTTTCTTATTGGATACAGTCGGGACCAGTCGTTGGACTGTTCATTGAAACATTCTTTTAAAACAGGTATTCGTGAGGGAAAGTACATGTATATGTTCAAATTCTACTGTTGCTTTAACATGTAACCGCCCTGTGTTTTGCTTTATTTTTTCATGTGGTGCCAGGCGTGTTCCTCCACAGGTGGTGGCAGTTTATGGATAAACCACGCCCCTTAGGACTCTTCTGTGATTTCCAACTATTGTTTTTCTTTGAATTTAAATGATTTAAAAATATATTTCTGATGCAGCCTGGGTGCACAAATAGTCTGCAGATTTCTATCCTGTATTTTCAGGCTTCTGTGGTCATCGGGTTCCATCCAATTTGTGCCTCCATTTTTGGGACAGGGAACATCTCCCTTTCATATTCCTATTTCATGAACTTCTAAAAAGTATTTATTAACTTAATTCATATTTCATGAATTTCTAAAAAGAAGTATTTATCTATTAATTTCAACAAAAAATGACCCCAGTGTGATCAGCCTGTAGACAAGCGCAGCGGGTTCGGGGCGGGCAGGGAAGGCTCCCTGGAGAGGGGCCCGGCCCGGCCGCAGGGTCTCCGTGGGGGGAGCCGGGGGGACCCGAGGTCACCGAGTGGCAAGAAGGGCCGTGTCCAGTCCAGCGGACGCCTCCTTCGCACAGGATGGAATCCTTTAGACCCTGAGACGCAGACTTGGCGTAAGTTGAAAGAAAGTAAAGCTGGGGCTCACGTGAAGTTCCAGAGCAGGAAACCGCGTTTATGTTTCACACCTGCTGACGCCCAAGGTGATTAAGACTCAACCAGGTCTTAGCGTCAGGAGTAGGAGATCTTCCAGGAGCTTCCGCCTGTGTCAGGAAAAGCAGGAAAAGCCGTGGCATCCCCTGGACCACCGCTTTCTCTCCTTGCAGTGGGGCGTGGCTTCCTGGGATTTTCAACTAATTGAAATTTTAGCGCTTGAGTGCGGATGCGGAACGGTTGCCTGGGCTGCTTTACCTGCGAGCCCGGTGCCGTGGAGCGGGGGGCGGAAACCTACCCCCCTGCAGCCTTGAATTTGGCCTTCGCCTTGGGGTGCTGGCTGAGTTTTGTCCTGGCTTTTGTTCAGAGGGACACAGCTTATGTTTCGTTCCAGGCTCGCCATGTGCTCTGTTCTGTTCTGATGTCCTTGGTTCCCACCAACCACGAAGCCTTTCAACATTGGACACTGAAGACGTTTAAGGCACGAGGCACAGAGTGTGACGTTGCAACACCTGTATTCCTGTCACAGTTTATTTACCTGTCACGCCTGGAGACAGTTTGCATTTTACTGGAAGAGGCAGCTCCACCTCGGACCAGACGGGACCGTGGCCCCGAGCCTGGCGCCCACTCGCCCGACGTCCTCGGGGAGACGCTTTTCTTGGCTCCTCGCGCTCTGCTCACAGGTGGTCAGCAGGCGTTTTGAGGCAGAGCCTGAAATTTTTAGACTTTAGGACCATTTGCTCAGCTGGCCACGATTTCAGACACACTGCTGCTTTTACGGTCCATTTTAATCCTGTTTGGCGGAAAACAGCTTGTTTGGCTCTGCAGTGTAATGTCTCCTGTTCTGTGTCCGCGTGCCCGGGGGCATGTGTGTGGACGGCACTGGACATAAGGCCTCAGCAGCATTGCCCACAAAACGCTCTACACAGAATTCCTTGTCGGGATACGTTTAGGACACTGGCGTGTGGGTCCCGCCGAGGGGGACCTCTCCCTGCAGGTTTTCTTACACTCTCTGACTCGTTTCCCATAAAGAAACCCACCCACTGACTCAACAGTGTTTCCCTGACTTGTGGGGAAACGTCGTCACCCTGTGGCTGACGTTTGTAATCCTGCCGAGGAATCCGGCCACTGTCACCTGCAGGTGTCCCAGGGACACGTCGCCCACTCTGCGGGGTGCTGACCACGAGGCAAACGCTTTTAATTTTGACCAAATCCGGTCTATCAGTCTTTCCTTTAATGCCAAGCAGACATTAACATTCAATTTTTGCCCGGCCGGGCGTGGCTCAGCGGTTGAGCGTCGACCTGGGATCCAGGCGATTGGGGTTCGATTCCCGGTCAGGGCACATGCCCGGGTTGCAGGCTCGATCAATGACTCTCTCATCATTGATGTTTCTTTCTCTCTCTCCCTCTCCTTTCCTCTCTCTGAAATCAATAAAGATATATTTAAAAAAAAAAAAACATTCAATTTTCTCCCTGGTATCTTGCCATTTTCAGCACATAGGTCTTCGGCCTGTGTTATGATCTTTATACCTAAGGATTTCATTTTTCAAATGATTGCAAGTGATTTTGAGTGTTAAATTTTATTTCTTGCGCGTTTATTGTTAGTATATAGAAATTGCACCGTGTGACGTATCTAATTTGCTTTTTTGTAGTAGGAGTTTTGGGGTTTTTTTTTAGTAGATTCCTCCTTAATTACACTTTAGACACATCTTTTGCAAATAAGGGTAGTTTCTTCTTTCCAAACCATAAACCTTTTTATTTTTTTCTTTCTTTACTGAATGGTTAGACTGTCTCGTGTGGTACCAGGAGCGGTGGGAATGGACAGGCCGCCCGTGCTCCTGGCCTGGGGGGAGCGTTCGGTATTTCACCCCCCGAGACGATGCTCTCGGAGTCGGCATAGATGAAGCTCCTTCGTTTTTTTAAGTCTAATTATAGCCCCAGAATAGTTTCCGAGGTGGCTTTCATTGAAGGAAAAGCTGCGCGTCCTCGTGATTTGGGCGATCGTGGCGACAGTTGTGGGTTCCAGGCCGCGTGTAGATTCGGCTGAAGACATTAACTCCCTCCTCTGGGCCACGCTCCCTGGGCACCCAACTCTCACACACGCCTGCTTGGGTTCTGGGGTGCCCGTGACAACTCTGACGTGATTGTGGAGACACGGCTGGCGGGTTTGTCTTTTCACTGCGTTGCCGGATTCCTGGGAGCCTGATAGAGAAATCGGAATCGCACTTTCCTCCTCAAAACGCGCGTCTCCCGAGATTCCCGAGAAGGGTTTAAACACCACCCCACAGAAGCCAGGAGAGTGTGGGAGAGCATTTTAATTTTGTTCTTTCTAAAATTTGTGTTTTGTTTTGTTTTCAAATCAGACCTTGAACATTTTAAGACCAAGACGAGGAACACGGTGTCCGTGCGGGAAGGCCAGGGTGTCGTCCTGCTCTGCGGGCCCCCGCCCCACTCCGGAGGTAAGAGGCTCCCGCTCGTGCTCTTTGTATTGACCGAGTTTCTGGGCAGGACCCACGGCCTTTGCGCTGTTACCACGTCTGTAAAGGTCCGAGCGGCTTGCTAACCTGAGCTCCGGACTCTGCCTTCGAGGTGGAATATCAGAGACTACGAACGGCCGTCCATCCAGAGACGTTTATAGTCATAATCCGTCTACTCACTCGGCAGGAGTCCTGCGGCGGCGAGGTCACATCCGTCCCGGTGACCCGAGGGGCCTAACAGCTTTATCTTCCCCTGTCCCCATTGGTCACTGAGTTTTAGGCCATGACGTCCGTGGCAGTCTTTCTGTCCCTCCCTCCCTCTCTCTCTCACTCACATGCTTATTAACAAACACCGTTGGACATTTGGTTTTTGTACTATGTGGACATGATATGTGTGGATATTCACAGCATTTTTACTCGGGTGTTGGAATTGCAGGGTTTTTGCTGCTTTGGTATAAATCGAACTTCAGCAGGTGGGAGGGTAACTGGACAAGCGCGGCCCCAGGGGAGCCCCGGCCTGGGCTCCTGGCTCCCTCACCCCCACACTCACTCCCACACTTGGTCCTTGGGGGACGGAGGGGGTGTTATTAGTGTAAAAGTCACTGTCCTAGAGAAGCGAACACATCCTGGGACTGAGGGTGAGAGCTGCTGACGGGGACAGATCGGAGGGAACCTCTCCGCCCGAGGCGTCTCCCTCCCACCCTGGTAAAGCCGATTTATATGGAACTGTGCCAGACTTTGTTCTGTGGCGTGCAGGGTGGGCACCTCAGGGTGGGGTTAAGGCAGCCTTAGTCTTCGCATTACTGAACCAGTGCGGAGCGGGGTCCCGTGTCCCGGGGGCCTGGACGTTGCGAGCATCTCGGCAGGAGTGTCAGTGGAGGCGCGTGCTCCGCGCTGCGAGGCTTCGCTGAGAATCCCCGCGAGACGAGGACACGCCGCTGTGCTAAACCGGGTCGCCGCGTCGAGGCGTCACAACACGGAGGAGTTCGCCGGGAGGTAAAGGCGTGAAGGTGAGGACAGCCTCGGACTCGGGGGGCCCGCCCCATCGTGTCGGCCACCTGGACACCGGGTGGGTCAGTGAGGCCCTGTTCAGAGGAGGCGAGCCCTGCACGGCCCGGGGACTCGGCCGGAAGGATTCTGTGGAGAAAGTGTGGAGCCAAAGCTGTAAGTGTTCTGCCCAAAGGTGAGACACTCGTAGGGAGGGGCTCGGCTCCAGGACCCACCCACGGACGCCCGAGCTCCTCATAGGAAACGGTGCCATGTTTGCTTACAAGCGACACACCCGCCCGTCTGCCTTCAGTCGCCTCCGGATTCCTTATGACCCCTGAGACGACACGCGCGCCGTGGGAAGTGGCTGTGTGTCCTTCGGGGAGCAGTAAGGACAGTGTCTGTCCTGTTCACCGCAGACACCGCCGCCCGGGCCCCGACCCTCGGGACCGTCGGCGGCCTGGAACCTCAGTATTTTCTCCCGCGGCTGGTTGGGTCCGCGGTGCAGAGGGCGGACTGAATCTCCCAACGCGCTTCCCCTGAAGTGCCCGGCTCGCGCCTTTGAGTTTCTGCGATGCTTGTAAACACGGTTACGGGACCGTGGAGATAATCCCGGGTGAGACCTGCGCGGCGCGAACCTTTTATTAGAGGCCGACGGCGTGTTCTGGAGAGTGGTGTTTTCTTCCCTTAAACGCTAGTTAGATCAGATTTTCAAAAGCACGCAGGAAATATTCCTGGTCTTAAACCCAGGGATTTATAAAGCAGGAGCGGCGAGACCAGCGGGAGACCAATTTCCTTTGGGGCGCATTGGCTTGTGGTCTGCGGCCTCCCACAGCAGAGCGGGATTTGCTCGAGCTCTGCGGAGACCTTGGGTCCTTGCTCCCCATGTCGTACACTGACAGCGGGAAGCCGGCGATTTTCCGGGCCATTCTGGCTCCGTCGGATACACCAGGTCGCCGGCAGGTTCACGGGAGGCGCGTGCGTTGCTCACGACCACCAGCCGCCACGGGGGAACCTCCTGCACGAACACGCGGCTTCTGAAACGCTTCCCTGTGCAAACAGGAGGGGAAGCGGCCCCTGTAAATGCCAACAAGGGGTTTCCCCCACCCAACCCGCGACACCGGCGAATGGATGTTGTTGTATATAGTCTCCCACAAATACTTCCCAGGGTATTTCACACTTGCTCTTTAAGAATGTTCCGGGCCTGGCCGGGCGTGGCTCAGTGGTTGAGCGTCGACCTAGGATCCAGGCGATCACGGTTCGATTCTGGTCAGGGCACATGCCTGGGTCGTGGGCTGCAGCCGATCAATGACTCTCATCATTGATGTTTCTATCTCTCTCTCTCCCTCTCCTTTCCTCTCTCTGAAATCAATAAAGATATATTTAAAAAAAAAAAAAAAATGTTCTGGAGGTTGACTGGTGGTGTGGCTCAGTGGTTGAGCATCGACCTATGAACCAGGAGGTCATGGGTTCGATTCCCGGTCGGAGCACATGCCCGGGTTTTGGGCTCGACCCCCAGCAGGGGGTGCAGGAGGCAGCCGATCGGTGCCTCTCATCCTTGCTGTTTCCCTCCCTCTCCCTACCTCCCTCTCTAAAAAATCAGGAAAGACCTATTTTTTAAGAAACGAATGTCCTGGTCAGGGGCACAAGTTCACCGTCCTATAGGGGCAGCTGTGGTTCCCCAGAGCAATTACAGTGGTAACATCAAAGGTCGCTGGCCACAGGCCACTGTAGCAAAGAGAATAATGACAGAGCCTGACATCGTGCAACAGTCACCAAAATGTGACAAAGTGAGCAGGTGCTGCCGGGAAAAGGGTGCCACAGATGAGCCCCACGCAGGTTGCCACACACCTTCAACTTGCAAAAAACTCGGCATCCGCAACCGCGAGGAAGCGAGCTGGGCCGTGCGTGTCCCTCGGTCCCGGCGTCTCTGAGGCTCCGCGTCACCGTATCCTGTGCGCTCCCTGGAGAAACAGCTCGGATCCCAGTTTGGTGCCGAGACGTGGAGCAGGATCCGGCGCTTGGCTGTCGTCTGGCTCGACCGTGCCGTTCGTCACCCGGCCCCGAGAACTGCCGCTTAAAACAGAACTTCCATTTCTCTTTTATTTCCTCCTCAACGAGATACAGTGTAACAAACAAAGTGGGGTTGTCATTTTCGGCCTGAAGAGAATTAATAAGCGCATGTTCGCCACTCAAACTCTCCTATATATCTTTGCTTTATTGCTTTCCTCCTCTGGCAGAAACAAAATAATTACCAGCAACGAGAAATCCTGTCGCTGTTACGGTTTAGCTATTTATTTCCCTCCAGCGCGCACTTGAGTACACGGAGTTTCTTTTCCTTTCGGCAAAATTATAGATGTGCTGAGGGAGATTTGTCTGTCTCGAGGAAGAAAATCGCACACAGAGAAAGCAGGCGTTTGTTTCTGCAGCTCGTTATAACTCGAAGGCTATACCCATTCAATCCCGTCACATTTTAATAACTTGGAGGGTGTTTCCCCCATTCATACAACTTATTTTGCCCCCTAACTTACACATTCATTCTTCTAAAAGCACATCGGAATCATCACATTAAAAAAAACACCTTAAAAAAAAAACACACAAAAAAACACCTCAAGATCTTGATTGGAATTATCTGATATTTGCCTGTTACTTTGGGAAAATCGGCAACTGCAACACTGGGATTTCACACTCAGGAATACGACACGTATCTGCAGCATTAAAGTCACAGTGTCGTGCAGCAAACTGCTGTTTCTCTCCCTGGCTGTCGTGCCTGTGCACCCAAGGGTCTCGGGTTCGATTCCGGGTCAAGGGCACGTGCCTGGGTTTCGGGTTCCATCCCCGGCCCCCCGGTTGGGGCTCGTGTGGAGGAAACCAACTGATGGGTCTCTCTCTGTCTCCCTCCCTCCCCCTCCTTTCCTCCCTCTGTCTCTAAAAATCAATGGAAAATAAAACAAACAAAAAGCTCTTTCTACATAAACTGCAGATATCTTTTTCTGCATAAACTGCTACACAGATCTAGCCCGAGTGTGACCTTATTTGGAAATCCAAGGTACAGGGCCTCCTTTGCTTTGATCGCATAGCTGATATTAAACACTGACCCACAGACTTACGCAAATATAAATGCTGTGCTCCAGTTTCCCTGGGTGTGCAAACCAGCCCTTAAAATGCCATAGTTATTGCTGGGATCTTATAGAAGGTTCCCAGGAGCCCAGCATCCGCGTGCACCTGTGTGACCCCCGGTCACCACCAGCACTGCTTTGTGACACTGGGGACACAGAGCTTCGATTTTATTCTTTGTAAAGGTCTCCTGGTCAGGTCTGAATGGGAATCTTGATTTTTTAATAGTCTCTAATTCCTTAAGCGTAAACATCTGGAAGAGGGCACTTGTGTTGCCATGGCTACAGGGCATTTTTTTAATTGAATTTAAAAGAGGAAGGGGGAGAGAGAGAGAAACAGAAACCAACTGGCTGCCTCCTGCATGCAACCCGACCCAGGCTCGAACCCGCCACCTTTCGGTGTACCAGACTATGCTCCAACCCACTGAGAGCCCGGCCAGGGCAAGGAATTAGCGATCCCAATTATACTTTTCAATCTAAAACGGTGCAATGATTGTCACAATTGGCCTGCAATTGCAATTTCTTATAAAACTTTCTAAAATAAGTCTTCCTCAAATAGAAATTTTCCACACTGGAGCTCTACAAAGACGACTATTTTGCAGGCTACAGGAATGTGCTAATTACTTGGCAGCAGATTCTAATTGAAAGAGCAGCAGAGACGGCGGGCTTCCTGCGACCCCAGCTGGACGGCCCGCGGCTCTGAGCCTCAGTGTTCCCATGGCGGCTAAATGGCGGCTCTTAGGACACCTTCTGTTTGAAGATAAACAAGTGGGAAGTTAAAAGGAAAAGTAATGGGGCCTTTGAAGGCGGGAGGAAGAGCCTTATGTTATTTGGAGATTCTTCTCTTGGTATAACATTTACTGACACTTTTTAATTAGA